TGGAACATCGTGCAATCTAATCATAAGAGAAAAAAATCTATAAAAGACTTGATTTTATCAATACAGATGCTTTCAGTAGTTCCACAATGTAATTGCACCTTGTATATTATGTTACGGGTTTGCATGGCAAGGTTGTGGTAGCGGGGGAGCTAAAAGGGTGGCTTCTGTGAGAAGCTGCAAGAAGCTTCCCGCAGATCTAATAAAGCCAGTGCCAGCCAGCTCTAAGACAGACCTGCCGCTGGCCAAGGCCAAGCCAATCAGAGATGGTGGTAGCACCTCTGTGATAACATATTTAAGAAGGGGAAGAAAAAAAACTGCAGTGAAACAGCAGTGAGGAGAGAGGAGTGAGATGTTGTGAAGGAAACAACTCTGCAGACACCAAGGTCAGTGAAGAAGGAGGGAGGAGGAGGTGCTTGAGGTGTCGGAGCAGAGAGTCTTCACTTGCAGCTTGTGATGGAGACCATGGTGAGGCAGATTGTCCCCCTGCAGTCCATGGAGGTCGGAGTCCTCCCACTGAGGAAGAGGGAGCGGCAGAGACAACGTGTGATGAACGGACCATAACCCCTATTCCCCACCCCCCTGCACTGCTCAGGGGCAGGAGGTAGAGAACCGGGACTGAAGTTGAGCCCAGGAAGAAGGGAGGGGTGGGGGGAAGGTGTTTTGTGATCTGGTTTTATTTCTCACTATCCTACTCTGATTTGATTGGTGATGAATTAAGCTCCCTTTTCTCCCCAAGTTCAGTCTGTTTTGTCTGTGGCGTTAATTGGTGAGTGGTCTCTCCCTGTCCTTATCTCAACCCTTGAAGCCTTTCATCATATTTCCTCTCCGCTGTCCGTCTGAGGAAGGGGAGTGATAGTGTGGTTTTGGTGGGCAGCTGGCATTTATCCAGGCCAAGCCAAAACAATGTAAAAGTAATTTTTTTCTTTGTTTTCAATCTGTAACATGACAAATTTATGCTTTCCCCTCCTGAGAAACAGTGAATACCTATTTTCTGTTCCTTCTTATACCACTCCTGATTTTACAGATCTTTGTCATTCCTTTTTGACTTGTCTTTTAGAATCTTTTGCTAACATTATTTTGATAGCCACTTCTACCTGAGAGCCAAGGTAGTTGATCTTGAGTTACAAAGCTTCTGATGATTTTGAGTGTAGGCAATACCTCTGCCAGTGATTGAATTTGTCTTAGTTGTATCTGTTGTAATAGGATTTACTCCTTTATCCTCCCTGAATCATCACAATAAGCTGTGTGAGTTAATGAGTATGTGTATATATAGTGGAGGAATGTTGTTAACAGATACATGTGTTTCTGGGTGAATGCAGTGAGCCAATGGCTAATTTTTCAGAGCTTGTTGCTGATTGTGCTGTCCTGATAACCCCTCCCAACTCCTGTTAGACACTGAGTGTTTTTACTTTTAAATTACCTATCCTGAGGGGTTTGGATATCCTTTTCATGACCGGAAACCTCTTACCATGTTCCTTTTCATGGAGTAAATTCACTTTAATTTGTCCAGCTGCTTTTATTGAGCTATCTACTTCTTTTTTTTTTTTTCTCACAAAATCCAGCAGCCCTGCTTTCAATTAAGACTGAATCACCTTAGAAAGAAAATGAGAGTTCATGTATATTTTTAATATTTGCTGTTTTAAAAATACACTGGGATTTTGTGTGATTTTAGCATCATTGTAGGCATTCAGGGTTCTAACTGTGTAATATTGTAATGATCTTCAATTTAAAAAGCTCTTTAGAGGTGTCAGTTATTTAGCAATTGTTATTTTTTTCACTGGCATTGCCTCATTCTTTCTCTTTCAGTTCCCTGCAGAAATACTGTAGTTCTCAGAATAATAGATAACGTTGCTATGCATAATACTGCATACAGGTGAGAGGTTGGAGATACTCTTATTCTGGAAATCACTCCCATTAATGGAAACATGTAATTCTTTAAAAGGACCCGACCTTGTACAGCAGTTCATGTTTCTTTAATGAAGTAATGCAAACACAAGAATGAGAAAAGCCAGATAGGTAAGGTACAAGGTAGGCTTACAGAATTCCTTGAAGTGGGAGGCAAATGTTGAGAGCAGAAAAGGATGTGTAGATTTCAGTTTTTGGTACGTTGGACAGGCTGACAAGAACAACATTATTTTTTTGATGAGTTTTGACATGACTCTAAGTGTAGCAAAAGGATGTTTTTACTGTGGGATGCCTAATTTTAATGGAAAAACTACAGTCATGACAGAAGTTTTGTAATAGGTGTCAAGTACTTTGAAGTGAACTATAATTAAAATCATTTTATTGGCATTGTAAGAGTAAAGCAGATAGTTTTGAAAAAGTAAGAGCTACTCAGCTATTCCATTTTATGTGAAATCAGAGAAGAGGAGGAAAAAGAAGCTATTTCCCTCAAAAAAATAGTAAATGGGCTGACAGTATCTCCAGAATTTTTCAAATCACAGTCTGGAGAGAGCTGAAGATTAGTTTTCATAGGTAAGAATATTTCTAAAAAGTGTAAGAAAGAGACTGAAGTGCCTTTAGTGTCTGACACTTCTCTAGTGGTGACCTCTTGCGTGACTGTGATATGCATGTACTTTTCCAATTAAGAGGGACGAGATACATGTGTATTATACAGAAGCAAGTGCGGGAGTACTGTGTTACTGATGAAGGGCCAGAATGAAGCGTGCTTGGGGAATGACAGGTACTGTAGGAGGTAATTGAATAGTTCTCCATCTCCCTGCTTTAATTCAGTTAGCTCAGAGCAAAAGTGGGTGGAAAATGTGTGAAGCTTCTTCTCAAGGAATGCTTTCTTTTCTCTTTTTCCCCAACATCAGTGTTGTTGAAAATGTACCACCGAGTTCCTTGTGTTTGTCCTCGCTGGAAGAACGCTGCTGATTATGGACCTTGTTTTTCCATTGTTCCCAAAACCCTATGCTAGCTCTGTCTTTCAGTAAGGACAAAATCTGTAATGGGTGCATTCATGAAAATAAACGTGTAGATTTAATAGCTGAAGGTGTGGGTTCTGTTTGCATAGTGTGCATTACATGTGACCACAGGTTTCCCAGTCGGTCGGCAGGTCACAAGTTATGACTAATGCAACTTGCTGTGCATCAGTGCCGCGAGCCAGCAAGTCGTCAGCTGGATCCCAATCTGAATTCCTTCACGGCAGTGTGTTACTCCTGCTCTGTAGTGGTCCTGGTGATGAAGTGACACAAGGAGCGTAGAGAGTAGAGGGTGAGTGCAGTTAACTATAAAAATGTAATACAGTTTGTGTTTGTTCAGTAATTAATTTGTTGTATTGCCTCTGTCTTTTGAGAAAGCTTCTCTTCCCACCAGGCTTACTTGAAGGCAATGATGTTCCCAGTATGCCATTGCTTTTCATGGACTTTGGTAGTCTGTGGATGTGGTGTGGAGAGTCTGTAGCCTGTATTCCT